AAAAAAATTTAATTATGTTATCAATGATCGAATGATCAACTCATAAAATCTATAAATAATAAAATCATTAACATACATATATAGTTAATATATTAAAACAAAAAATTTGAATGTAAAAAATAGAAAAAAAAATATGCTTCATTGACTTAATTATGATATCTTTAATGAACTTATTTATCAACGTAAACTACATATACAATTATTTTTAAAACAACTAAATTAACAAATTTCATATAATTGTTTTATTTCTATGCAACCTAAACTTTGATCTCGTTTTATTTTTATTTTCATTTGATTTGAAAAAACATTCTACTTATAAAAAATGAGTTTAATAATGAAAAAGGTCATTTAAATTAAAATTTATAAAAATATTACCAATGGTATTTTAATCGATCATTGGTAATATTTTTTAAATTAAAATTTCATTAGGGGTAGTTTAGTCAATCATTTTTAACTCTTTTGTAATCTAATTATAAAAAAAGTTTAATAATAAAAAATTCATTTAAATTAAAATTTATAAAACATTTACTAAAGATATTTTAGCCAATTACTTTTAATAATTTTGAAATTAAAATTTTAAAATTTTAAATAGTTTAATTTCACATAAATTTTATTTTTAATTTTAGTTAATTTAAATTAAACTTAAATAAATTGATAAAAATTATATATTTAAAGATAATTTAGTTAATTTAAAAATTTATAAAAATATTTAAGTCGATCATTACTACACTCATTCACTTTTTTATATAATATATATATATATATATATATTTATATATATCAACCATTGAATAAAAACGTCTAGTTAGCAGACTTTCATTGGCGGAACTTATTAAGAGTATAGTTAGTAGAAATTTGATCATTGCCTGCAATTTTTCTTTTATGTTTTTAAACTAGGTTCGACCACTCGCAAGATGATTACATTAATGTCACAATGCAAGATTGCCCCCCACAACATTGCATGGATAGAAGTAAAAGGTAATGATACCAATTGGGAAATGAGAGCCCCATTATCCCTATGTATTGTATTGTCTTTGTTACATGGTTAAGATTTGCGTTGGGTAGAAACTTGAAAGGGTGGACTCTTTCTTTTATTTTTTTAGAGTCGTCATCGTCAATGAAATTTTTATATCTATCTTTTGACATCCTTTACATTTATAATAACAGTATCTTTGTAAAGATTTATAAGCATATATAAATTTTTTATCAACTAAATATGTAATTGAAATATTTTTTTTTATGATTTAATGTTATATCTCAATTATTCTATTTGTTTTAAATCAAATTATGGTATTGCCCTTTACTCTTTTCTTTTATTTTATATAATAAAAATACCAATCAAATGGAAAAAAGACAAAAGGCTGATTTAGATTGAAACGTGCCAAAGCTGCAATTATTATGGAAAGTTATGCCGACAATTCAACTATATTACGGTGTGGTGTAATTTTTGACAATTTATCATTGGAAGGTGGGGTTCCAGTCCACCACTGCAATTGCTTTAATTTTTTTTCCTCCTTCAAGTGAACAACTAGTTCTTTTTTAATTTAATTTTATTTAAAAATTATAAAGTAATTTTGGTAATTTAATATAAAACAAATTTTATTATATAATAAATTAATAAATAAATAAACTTTATTATATAATGAATTAATAAATAAATTTTAATTATTTATCAATAAAATTGTAATTTTATTTAAAAACAATTTGACTTTTTTAATTATTTATTAATTTTGATAAATATTAAATAATTTAAATTTTTTAATCAATATTTTTAATGATAATATTTTATTTTCACTACTATTCATTTTATCATTATCTTACTTTTATATCAAAATATATATTTTATTATTAATTTTAATTTTATTATAATAATTAATTTTAACTTAATTATTAATTTTAATCTTATTAAAATCAATTCATAATCCATCAAAATCATCTGTAAGTAAACCCATTGAAAAGACGTGCACTCACAAAAAGGATGTGAGTATTTAGGAGAAATAAAATGGAAAAACATATTAAGTCACTCAAGAAAAGAAATAGTGAAATATTAGTGGTTTGTCTTCTTCAGAATTTGTACGTTTTCACGCAATGGATGTGAAAGGCATGACAAGACATTTTTCTTTCATCCACCCCCTGGCTGTCTCAACCTCGATATAGTGATAGCAAAATTACTCCTATCTTTCTTTGACAGCATGCACTTACTTAGGGACGGGAATCCGACACGTCTCCGACGAATTTTAATTCGATTTAATTTTATGAGATCGATTTTTTTTAATTTAAATTTTAAATTAAATTAAATCGAATAAAATTAAAAAATAATTGAGATTAAATTAAATTTAAATTTTAAATAAATTTGATTCGATTTGATATTATATAAAAAATTATTTTTTAATTAATTATTTAATTTTTTATTTATATATTTATATAATAATATTTTTAAATATTTATATTTAAAAAATAATATTTTATTAATTTCAATTCGGATCGAATCAAGTACGGTTTATATAATATCGAATCGAAATCGGATTCGAATATAAAAAAATAAAAAAAATTTCGAATAAAATCAAATTCGAATTTAATAATACTTAAAATTAAGTTGAATTCAAGACAAATAAAATCGATCTCAAATTCGATCCGATACCAACGTTACACTTATATATGTTTGTCCTCTTTCACTTGATTCCCATTTTAGTTTGCCAAATGGAAAGTATTGTTGGGTTCGAGTAGATAAGGAGCTATGGAAAATTGGAAATCATTGGAATCTGGGACTTAATTTTGTTCATGTATGTAAATATTTTTAAAAATAATATATTTAAAAGATATAAATTTTAAATTTTTAACTTTTATAATTTATTTATTAAATAATGAATCTCGACTTACGTGTCATAAATAAGATTGAAGAAGCTATGTTGATACAATTGAATATTGGTGATATGAAAGAGAATTTTACACAAAGCTAACATATAAAACTATTAATTTTTTAGTGCCTTGATGTTGGCTTTTAATATATAAAGCCATGATAATTTAAAATAATAACAATTTTTTAAACTATTCAAGTTATGATCTCTTATTTATTAAAAATAAATTTTTAAATCAAAGATAATTTAAAATTAAAACTATTACTAAAAATAATCATCTAAAATAAATTTACTTTTTAATTCTAATATTAAAGCCAATCTTATCTCAGAATCTTATCTTAATATATATTCGCAACATGATATCATTATCTCTAAACTACGATAATGGAAGTCATTGTTATCTTTTCCTCCTGGACTTATATATAGACGTGAGTGTGACTCCACTTCCAATTTTCAAATTGGTAGTTGAGTACACTTTTTCTTTTTCACTTCGCCCTTCGACAAATTTAGGGTTGGCGTATCAATTCATTTTTTATGGGTTTTTATTCGAATCAACTTTTTAAGATTAATTTCTTTTTTTGAAAATTAAATTTTGAGTCGGATCAAATAAAGTAATAATAAAAATATTAAATCAAATTTTAAGTAAATTTGATTCGATTTGATATATAAAAAATTATTTTTAATTATTTTATTTAATTTAATATTTATATATTTATTTAATTTTATATTTATATTAAAAATAATATTTTATATTAAAAAATATTTTATTAATTTTAAATTAAATCTAATCAAATATAATTTATATATTATCGAATTAAATCAAATCGAATTCAAATATAAAAAAATAAATCTTCAAATCAAATACTACGATATAAAATTAAATCAAATTAAAAAAAAAATTAAAATTCACTTTGACTCGGCCTTACCCGTTATCATTCCTAGCCAAATCCTCTGCTTAAGAAACCAAAGCTATGTCTTCTCATTGGAGGGGAAAGAGAAGGGTTTTCGGAATTAATAAAAGAGAGAGAAAAAAATAAAGACAAAAATAAAGGGAATTTGGACGCTTTTAAGGCTGTGTACATTGATCGATCAGGCTAGCTTGAATCTGTAGTCATTAATTATTTTGTTTTGAAATAGACCACATTAGTAATTGAATACACAAGATGCTACAGCTGGCAAGACTGCTTGTAAAAATGCGGAGATTAATGTTGGTTAGAATTTCCTGATGACCAATAAAACTTATCTCGTCATGAATTTTTTTAAATTTTATAAAATTTAAAAAATATCACATTTTATTTTTAAAATATTATATCTCATTTTATTAACTTCGTTGATAAATCTAAAAACTTAAGGTAAATGAAATAATTTTTCTAAATATATGTATATATGGAAAATTTTTATATGTCTGGGAAAACCTTTTGATTGAATTGGAGAATTTGCAAAATTAATTATCATCAAACCATGATCACCACCCTTCATTTGTCCACGCTAGTCTTCAATTTTAAGTAAGTGTGTTTTGCTCATAATTAATTGAGTTTATATTTAATACATTAATGATGTATAATTTTTATATATTATTAGTAAATCAAATGATGATATCTAATTAATGAGTAAATATTAATATTTAAAATAAATATTTATTAAAAAATTTATTCATTAATAAAATGATATCATTTGATTCACTTTATTAATAAAATAATATTATCTTATTCATTATAATGTATAAAATTTATATATTAATAATATATTAAATATAAATCCTAATTATATATGATGCTTAATGCATAAGAACTTTACAAACTTCTCTTTCGTATTTCTATAACAACTTCCACATGAACGTTCACGTGCATTAAGGTGATAGATTTTTTTTTTTTTTGAATTTTAAACACAATTGACGGAATTTAAAATATTTTTAACTGATTACAGGTCCAAAATTAATTTTTAAATACGATTAATGAAAATAAAATATTATATGAATATCATATATATGTGATGCAATTTACACGTATATAAGGAAAATGACAATACCCCAAATTATAAGGACAAAAATCACATGGAAAGAATTTATATTTATGTAAATAACAAGGAGAAATTTGTAATTTGGAATGACTTCTTCCCCCTATAAAATGTTGACTTGTGTAAACAACTAGAACCTTTGTCCTCAAAATCTTGGAAGCTTTGCCAGCTCTCTCTCTCTCTCTGTCTCTCTGTCACACTGTCTCTTTGTTTCTCCAACAGGGGATTGGAAGGCATGGAACCATCGGTGTTGGTGTCAGATTTTCTTGCAAAGTGCGGTGGGTATGCAGTGGTAGATGGTGGGTTCGCTACTGAACTTGAACGCCATGGCCAAAACCTCAATGATCCTCTTTGGAGTGCCAAATGTCTTATCAGTTCTCCCGATCTTGTTCGAAGGGTACTTCTCTTCTTACCTTGTAATCACGTTTGGACATGCGTGTGTTTCACATAAGAAAAGAAAAAAAAAAAAGAATTTTGCCTAATGTTTATTCTTTTTTTTTTTTTTTACTACAAGTTTTTATTGGATTCTTCGAAAAAAGTAGTAACAAGACAAACAGGTTTTTTTTTTCCGTTTCCTTTTGAAATTATTATTTCGGATTATGTTATGTAAAAAAAAAATAAAAAAAAATTTCGAGAAAAATAACTGAAAATCAAAAACATTTACGAAACATTGATTCTTTAAGTTGTGTTCGGATGATTTTTTATTTTTGTGTTTTTTTTTTTGTTATTTTTAATAGAAAATAAAAAATAAATTCAAATTAAAAAATCAATTAAACAAAATCTCATTAAATAAAATTTAATTTTAAAAAAGGTTAATAAAAAAGAAAAATAAAATTATATATTTGTCACTAACTTACAAGACACAAATATGAATTGACATATCATCCGCCTGCAACGTGTTAAAAGCTAGCCTTCCCAGCTAAGAGATTTTCTTGTGGTATGATGTGAGATTTTCATGACATTTGTCTATTCCTACTTTTGGACAATCAGAAGATGTCATAGAATATATTATTTCCTTATTTCTTTGATACAATTAATTATTAAAAGGAGGAATTAATTTATATTAGCATAAAGTTAAAAAAATTATATTTTTTAATTATTAATTTTAATAAATTTAAAAAATAATAAAGATAAATAAAAAAATTTAATCTCATTTTTTATTTATTAAAATCAATAAATAAAAAAATATTAATCCATCCCCAATTATTAATTAACATTTGTATTCTAAACATATATATTTCATTCAAATTTGCTATAAAGCATCAAATATGGTTATGTTTGAAACGTCTCCAAAAAAAAGCTGATTGGAGGTATGGAACAACGAGGAAGGAGAGGAAGTCTCTTCGTTGTGCTGCATGCAAACATAACCAAATAAATTGATTGACAAAAGTGAGGGAAGGAGTGCTTCATATGGTTGTTTGTTCCATTTTATCCAATAAAGATGGAAGACAAGTCAATGTTTTCTTTTTCATTTTCTTATATCAATGTATCATCTAGAAATGCTTGGAGTTTGCATTTAGAAAAAGTGAGACGCATTGGTTGATAGCATATCAACCAAACTTTAGAAGTAATTCTTGTTCCTTTGAAATTCCTTTTTATTAAGCTAAGGGTTTGACAGTGCTTTTTTCCCTGCTAAAATTAGTTCCAGACGTGCGAGTATTCGTAACTTTTCATATTAATTGATCAATATGAATGCAATTTGTTTAAGAAACTTGAGATTAAGGGAAGAAAGAAGGTTAATTCTAACTCTACAATCAGGACTAGAAAAATTGAAAAATAAAAAAGCTAGTAAATTTGATAATTTGTATATTTATATTGTGTTTATTTTATATCAAATATGTATATATAAGTTACTATATTTTAATTCGTGTCGATACATCAAAAATAAAATATCTTTTTTTTTTAAACTCATATACAATTTTTTTTATCTTTTTATGTGTGTCATTCATATTTTGTCTAAAATTAACAGATCTGTACCAAGCAATGAAATACAGTTGATTAAAGTCATTGTTCTAGTATTTGCCTTGATTAGGCTATGATATAGAAATTTAGCTGTTAATAGAAGCTATTCTTCCTTCAATTTCATTCCAAAATTCAGACTGATCAATCACTAGATGTCAAGTAATAACCACCTGCTATTTTTGTAGAGAGGAACAGATTTTTTATCTGCCTTTTGTAATTTTGTTTGCCTATTGACACGTTTGATATAACATATTTGTAGGTTCACCTAGATTACCTCGATGCTGGTGCAAATGTGATTATAACCGCATCTTATCAGGCAACTATTCAGGGTTTTGAAGCCAAAGGCCTATCCAGGGAAGAAGCTGAAACATTGATTAGGAGAAGTGTTGAAATTGCTTGTGAGGCTCGGCAAATTTATCATGACAGATGTACCAAAGACTCTTGGGACTTCCTTCACAGCGAGAACATTACCACCAGACGTCCAGTTCTAGTTGCTGCTTCTGTGGGCAGCTATGGGGCTTATTTGGCTGATGGATCTGAGTATACGTAAGTAAGGCTATTAATATTTATGATTTTACTCAATTTATGGTCCTCATAATTAGTATTTTTTAACATTTCTGACATTAATTGTTTGAAATTTTCGTTTTCTGACAACATCTCATATTTTCCTGTGTTCCTTTCCAGTGGCAACTATGGCGATTCAATGACAATGGAAAAATTGAAGGATTTTCACAGGAGAAGGGTACAGATTCTGGCCAAATCAGGTGCTGACCTCATTGCATTTGAAACCATTCCAAACAAGCTAGAAGCACAGGTATTTTCTATCTTTATATGCTACAAACCAATGGTTTGACAATGTCATTACAAAATACTTTTCCTAGAACAATTTTCTTAGCTGTGGTTTTCCTTACTGATTTTGCTTGAATCAAGTGCAGGCATATGCTGAGCTTCTCGAGGAGGAAGGTATAGACATTCCAGCTTGGTTTTCTTTTTCCTCCAAGGATGGAGTCAATGTGGTTAGTGGTGATTCTATTAGTGAGTGTGCCTCCGTTGCGGATTCATGCAAGCAAGTTGCTGCTGTAGGAATCAACTGTACCCCTCCTAGATTTATCCATGGACTAATTCTCTCCATTAGGAAGGTAATCATCATTTGGTGTTTGCAACTTCTTTTAAGCTGAATTTTTTTTTTTTTTTTGTGATATATAAGAAGCCATGGTACAGGGACAGGAAAAAGAGATGCAAATGATGAGATTTAAACTCCAGACCTGCTGAATGACATCTCTATGATGGCTATATGAACTAACTGAGCTCGTGGTTCTTTTAAACTGAATTTTACTAAATTTTCCATCCTCCCTTAAATAAAATGAGTCGTGATATGAGATGTTCACATCATAAAACCAAAATTTATTCTCATTCTATGGTAAAGATTGTTATGCTAACAATGATCTTGCAATTTCAGGTGACAGATAAACCGGTGGTCATATATCCCAACAGTGGTGAGACTTATGATGCAGAAAGCAAGCAATGGGTGGTCAGCGACTGCTTGCATTTTTTTTTCTAATGGTTATTTTAGGACTGAATAGTGATCAAGAAACTGAATTGGAGCTTTCTTTTGCAGAAATCAAGTGGGGAAGCAGATGAGGACTTTGTGTCATATGTAGGCAAATGGCGAGATGCTGGCGCATCTCTCTTTGGTGGGTGCTGCAGGACTACTCCAAACACCATCAGAGCCATATCCAGGATTCTCTTTGACAAATCATCACTTACCTTGTCCAAGGCTGAAGATAATTAAATCAGATGTTAATCTGAAATTTTACTTTCTTGGACATTGACCATATGAATCCTAAATGGATCAGAAATATCATAATCAAGTCAATGTAACGACATGCTCTATGTGACAAAAATAAAGGTTTATTTACCCGTCTTGTGCAGTCTGTTTGAGAAAGGTATTATAGGTTAGAGGAACTTTATAATTTTTAGTTTTTCAGAATTATGAAGAAAAAAATGAAAAGAATAGGATTATCATAATTTAAATATACAGAACTAAAAAAAAGCAATGTGTTAAGTCAAATGCATTGACATACTACAAAGATTTCTTCTGGTTGTGGTCATTCACTTGAAGAGAAAGCATTGAAGTTTCTTAGGAGGATAGAAAAGGATTCATGGAAGCCAGATATTTCAACTTTACTGAAAATGTGCTGCAGGAAGAAGAGGATGAAGACACTTAATTTTTTGTTAAGCCACATTTCAAACAACGATGTCAGTATTGATCATGCAAACTATGCTGTTTTGGTCTGTGGGCAGCTAGACTTGGTTTTCTTATATTATCCTTATTGTTCTTTGAGGTCGACAACGCAAATTCTTCTAGTTCTAGGTCTTGGCAATTGGCATCCAGAGGACGATCCAATAGTTCAACTTCTAGTTCTAGGTGATTTAACTGAACGGGTGCAAAAGTTTTGTTAATTAGAACTTCATGGACAAGAAGCGCCGGATGATATTCTGCATTATCAGAAATCTTGCAGCTGCATACACTTGGCAGCGCTTTTTCTACATGTTAATAAGCTGTCTTCAAGAATCTGCAGAGTCATGTTACCAATGATGTAGCTCGTTTGTTTTCCTTGCCTTAAACATGGAAGCATATGTTTCAACAGAATAAAATCTAGATTCAAACCAACTGCAGTTATGCCACAATAGACTTATGTCAAATTCTGATAAAGGTAGGAAAATCTTCATTGAAAAAAATTGTTATATGGTTCTATTTTCTACAAAAGGTTTCGGTCCAACTACAGATCATTCAGCTATTGCTATTACCCAAACCATGTAATATGAAGAAGTACAAACATTCATCACTCCTAAAAGCTGGGGCAACTCACTAGTTAAAATTTGAGATTTGAAATTAAAGATCTCAAGCTCGAATTTTACATGAAAGGAATAGCTATATTGAATGGGAACAGGTTTAATGAGTAAATACCTAATAGTAGTTTACATTTAATCACATAGGTATTGTCTTTTCTTGTTCATAGGTATTGTCTTTTCTTGTTCGCAATTAAAGAATTTAAGCTTGTGCGTGAAGTTAACTTTCTTGAAGTTGGTTTCTGCCAACCAAGTCTTTCAAGGAATTCCTCAATTAACCTACAAATTCAACATTGCTAGTAAGGTAACAATGTAAAGCAAACCAAATGACAAGTATGGCAAAAAGTGTACTCACAGGCTGCAGATGGCCTTCTGTGAAGAAGCCAGTTCACGGTCAGGGAATGATTCATCGAATCGAAAACTCAACCAAACATAGAGTTCCAAGACCTTCAGAGGTAGAAAACAAGAAGAAATCTCAGATTAATTGAACAGTTGAAAATGGGGGAAATTTTCAATTAAAATCCCCATAAAAAAAAGTCTACTACTAGAATTAAGGTGCAAAGCCCTTAGTTAAAAACAAGATAGTAAAGATCCATCATCCAAGTTCCAAAACTTTCAGTTATACCAATTGTAAATACTTGATTTTGGTTATTAATATTTTATTCTTTTAAATTTCTCTAAAGTTGTTAAAATTGAGGATAAGTCAAAATAGGAGATAAAACTATTTCAATGAAGGTTATTTTACAAAACAGCTATTCATGGAATAATCCTTTTACAGAATGGCTGTTTACGAAACAACTATTCAAGGAACAACTCCTTCATGGAACAATTGTTCTCGGAACAACTTCCTAAATGAACAAGACCAACACCTTTGCTGAAAAATCTTTTATCAAAAGTTGCTTCACTAAGAGTTATTCCACAAAAGATGTTTCACCAAATGTTACTTCACCGAAAGGAGTGAAAATAACCCTAGAATATGGTAGGATTCTTGGGTTAATTCTACTATTGGGATATTTCGGAGAGCTTGGCTTGGTAGATCAGATATGGAGATAGTTAAGAGGTTTTCTCTTAACCTTTCCTTGAAATATGAGTGCTTCTCCATTTCCTTTAGAATAGATAGTGAACTTCTATATTCACTATGCCTAGTACCAAAAAGCTAATTAAACTTTCATTAAACAAAACATTAATACCTTTTGTAACGGTCAATTCTCCTATTATTCACCATTATTCTCATTCAATATTCAAGATATGTAACTCCTATTCTTGAAACCTACAAATAAGAGTTTCCACAATTCATTGAGCACTTTTAGACTTGGACAGATTTCTCACAACTTTCTCTGCAATTCTCCCTTCCTAAGATCTTTTCTAAAACCTTATCCTCTCCTCAACCTAGCCTTATTTTGCTGTACACCACTACCTGCCACTGTACTCAACACTTCAGCGTCTGCTCCAGTCTTCCTCTCCACCGTATCCTGGCACTTCTCGTTTCACTTGTTTACAACACTTCCTCACCTCAGCAAAGAATCCATTTATACCAATCATCAAGAAATTTTAGGGGCAAAGACATTTCATTTAATAGTTGAAAATGGTCATAAAGTCTTCTATTTAAAGTCCACAGCCAATTAAACTCTTTACACCTTAGCATAACACATGACATTCAGGAAAAAAAAAATCCTACCTTGTGAATGGATTCAAGCTCCTTGAGTGCAGTATGTGTTTTAGGCACCTGAAGTGTACCAGGGGTAAATATTTCTCGAAGGTTAACAAGGCCCTTCTTTGCATAATTTTCAGCAAACTGATCCACCAAAATAGAATAGACAACCATTAGTTTCCACATTCCAAATAATCAAAACAAGATAGAAATGTTTACCTGTGTTAGACCTTGAGATGAAATTTCATCATTGATATCAACTGGACTGCACAAAAAAAGTAATACCCCATAAGAAAATGACCAAGTTCTTCAAAACAGCTGCATACTATGCCCAGCCAGTTGATTCCAAGCATTTAAAAGGGGGAAAAAAAAGATAAACTAGTAATTGCATCTCTAAAATTAATGCATCTCTAAAATTAACAGCCAACTTCAAATACAAATTTCTGGTAGTTGGATGGATAGAGATCAAAGATGTTACCTGATGCAGAAAAGATACTTATCTTGCAACCCGAGAGGCAGTTCATCAATAACAGTGGCAACTTTCTGATGACAATGAAGAGTCTTTAGCACTCAAGTGGAATAGACACATGATAATCAGCTATTTATAACATAAAAAATGTTAAATACCCATAAGGGGAGATATTGTTATCTGACAACAAATTTCCCATTGTAAGGACTTTCTAATCATCACTCCCACATTAATTCAAAAGAAAACATGACTGAAGAAACTTACCAACATTTCTTCACAGTTTGCAATGAAATAGTTCTCAGATAACTTTGCATTCTCTAGAAAATGCTCCTGCAAAAACAAAATCATTTAAACTAGTAAATTAATATAATATATATATATATATGGGGCCGTGGGGCTCAAACTATTTTTTAACCCCCAATGGGTTCATACTAGCTATCACAGAAAAAACCGAAAAAAAAAAGACAAAAGAATATCATGAGGTAACCTACCAATATCTGGTAGAGACCTCTTTTTGGTTGTAAACGTGAATACATAAAGATAAGATCGAAGGATGGAAATAGTCCAGCTTGCTGCATTATAAAAATCACTCAGATTCAAGGAATAAAAATGCTGAACCCATATGCAAATATACAAAAGCTGCGTATTGAGATTCATTGAAAATGTAACAAGCCTGATCAATGCAGAATTTTGTAGGAAACTTCAGTGATAACACAATCACCTCTAAAATAGGAGAGGCAGATTTCAATGATGAATGAAGCAAAGGTAGATCATCTGCATCTAAACAGGTCACATCACCCACAGGAAATTTTGATCCATACCTTCCAGCTCTCCCTACAAGAATATACAAGTTATCTCAAGAAAATTTATCAAATTTACAGGGTGTGCCCCACAAAATAAGAAAATAGAAGCTGAAAACTAAAACGAATTGCTTAAATATGGTTATCATACAAATATTCATACAAAAAAAAAAAAGAAAATACAAATATTGAAATAGAACATGGTCATATTATTTGTGCAGCTAGGGTCAGTTTAAGTGTGCAATAATAAAACAAGGCGGGCGAAGGGGAATAAAGATGTTCCAACTTTTAACAATCCAGAATTTCTACATGATAAGGTGAGTGTTATATTCTACCTTTTGGCTGGTGAAAGTATTTATTAAGATATAACCCAGTAGCATTTAAACTTTATGATTCCTGACACATGGCCCAAGGGCCTTAGCTCATCATCAAGATTTAGAGTTTGATTCTCAGTCCTTGCCAAAGGCAACCAGTTAACCCCATAATTAGACAAATAGGAGACCATCCGTCTACGAAAGTCTTAAGAAAGAAATTTGACCACAACAGTTCACCACTCATATCAAAATAAATTCCAAAGTTCACCTACAAAATTAACAGGGTACCTGCAATTTGCTTGATCTCTGGTACTGTAAGATCCCGCATTTCAAAACCATCAAATTTTTTCAACGTCGAAAAAATTATTCTTGAAATGTTCAGATTAAGACCCATCCCAATTGCATCACTGGCCACAAGAACATCAAACTCACTGCTAGCATCATTAAACATTGTTGCCTGCAATCCTAAAGAATGTATTAATTATAAACATAAATAAATAAATAAACAAATAAGTAGGCAACAGTGAGAATGAAATTATCATCATTCCCACATGCACTTAAAAACTTGCACAAACTTGGTGATCATTAAAGCAGGAAAGAAGTGATACCTGTCTTGTCCGAGTCTCTGGTGGCAATGAACCATAAACCACAGAGCAAAGATGTTTTCCACCACCTTCAATTCTTTTCTACAAGGATAGGGAAAATCAGAAAACATTTTCTGAAAGTATGTGAAAAGATAGGGAAAATCACAAACCGCTTCCAGAAAATAAGTGAATAGAGAAAAGAAAGGGGTATTAGAGCAAATTTCGAAACTCTCCCTATAAGCCTCAATACCAAGGTTAAAAGAGAAGGAAGTTGAAATATATTCCCTTTCTCCCAGAAAAACAGAGCTGAAGCAAAACAGCAAGAATAAAAACTAGTATTTTTACATATTGAAACCCACCAGTATTTTCTTAGAAAGATAGTATACCAGTTTCCATTTTTAAGGTATAACTGATCAAAACTACAGCATAATCAAACAAAGGAACAGAGAGAGCATACATTTGGCAAAAAAATAAAATACTACTAACCTTCAACTTGTATATTTCCTTGCGTGAAAAACTTACAATGCAGTCGCCTGTTCGTATGTTGGAAAAAGATCCAAGAGGAACTTCCAAGGGAACTAGTGGTAAAAGCCTATCATAAGATTGGACCTGGGATATTAAAAACACAAGATGAATAATACCAACAATATAAACAGGTACATAAAATGTGGGCCCCAAGCATGGAAGCAACAAGATAATTATTTTTCTGCCTATTCAACAGTGCATTTAGATAGAGAATAAAAAAGTGGAAATCAACTAAGTTGTGCAGCAGAAGGATTTTCAACTCCATTTATCTTATCCAGGCAGTTCTTCCTGTTGGTAAAATCGAGACAGCACAGAGAAATCCATGAATATGACTTTGCCTCCGATAAAAAGGATTTAAAGATTACAACATTTATGCATTACACAAAGAGCAGATTTTAGCAATGAACAGAAACAGTCCATGCCCATTCAACCTAACAAGATCAAATTTATGAAAAAGTCTCAATCCTCCCAAAAGAATTGGTTACAGCAGGCATATTATTTGTCATTCTTTTCCCCTCTGACACATAGGAGTTACAAAATGATGACTGAAATATCTTAGCTCGTACCAAGAACCGTGTCCATCCAAAAAAGAGATGCCATATGCATAAAATATGATTTTAGTAACACATGACACAATTCATTCAAAACTAGAACAAAGAAAACACTTGACCAGTCATTTTCACACAATTGCATTACCTTGACATCATCACCGGTCACTTTCAATAATTCCTGAATAAGAGGAACAGCAGCTGCATCTCCACAAAGATGAAGTTCATCAGCAGCAATTCCCAACAGGGCGCGTGTAAATGAAAAACCCCTAGTCTTACAGCCCAACATCTGCAGAGAAAGAGAAATTTTAACGGGACATAAGTGATCAGAGAAAATGCTTCAACAGTTTCTATAAAGCTGCATAAGAATCATGTAAGTTGTTCTATTTAATTTATGTTTAATAACTCTGCACACATCAGCAACATTCCTAGTAAGCTTGGTAAAATATGGTTTACGAATGTTTTTTAAACTATAACTTGCCTGTATTTCATCAATAACAGCACAATGGTAATCAGATGTTACATCAGCCATCTCAACGGTTACAGCCTTATGCTTTGCACCATCCACTTCCTCCTTCTCTTGTCCTGTGATTAGATCACAGGGAACTTTTGCTTTGTTCAACCGTTTCGACACTTCCCAAGCCAACAATCTTAAAGGACCACAATATACACCTGAAAAGGGAAAGCACCAAGGCAAAATAATTTGTCAGTTTATTATTACTAGATTCAATCCCCTTCAATCATTCACTGAACAAACAAACAAATTTATTCAATCCTGATAAAATGAGCATTGCAAATATACCAGAAGGACTTGATTGGAGTCGCTTCAGAGCATGGTATGTTTTACCGCTGTTTGTGGGACCTACATGCAAGAAAACCTTGCGATTCTTTTTTCGAGCATTAGGATACCATGTATGAGGACAGCTGAGATAAACCAAAAATAAGTTTACAAGAATGATATTGATATACAGAAATTATATAAGGAAATTTCGTGAGAGGGAAGTGGGGGCAAGAGAGGAAGAAAGCGCTATACAATTAAAACTTTTTTTTTTTTATAATCTCCCATTTAATGGAAACACTGAACAAGGAATTTTAGCTTATGGGAAGAAAGATGGACTTATAGCCACTAAGTTTCACAGAAAAGAAACTAATATATTTTAGTTACATAAGCCAGATAATTAGTATTTGAATAGTCAAATTTAAAAATCAAGACATTCATAATTATAAAATTTATTGTCTTTCAAGATTCTATATTACTATAACAATATTAAAACCATTAAATCTCTGGCCAGACTGATGAAATCTGCATTCATAAAACCATTGACCAGGACATAAGAATTGATTCAAATATATATAAGAAAGAAGAGAGGAAGCTATATGACAACGAAAACTCCATGAAACCAATAAAGAATGAAACAGTACTAAAAAAATACTACCATTTGAACTGCAACCAAAAAGAAGAATGGAATGGTTCTGACTAAATGCTACCATTTCAACAAGCTTAAAATAGATTTTACCAAAATAATTAGAAATACATAAAAGGATAGCCTATCCAAGCCAAAAATAACTATTAATAGCTGTAAGTCACACATTTCTTACGTGAGATCAGTAAAATCAAACTTTGCCGTACTCTTTCCACCGTTGTAATTCCTGATCATAACACCTATGGTAGCAAATCTCCCAAACTTGGATTCCAGTTGTAGTCGAAAGGAATCCCCATTATCTGCTCAAACATTTAGCTTAAAAATTTAAGTCAAAGCTGAATCAGAGAAATAGCCAAGAAAAATGACTAGCATACACCAATATCCATAAAGCTGTCAACAGTCAGCTTTTCTTCTATTAGCTACAAATACGCAATTGCCAAAAACACTTCAAAAATCTAAGTAAAACATAAAATTGGGACATGGGCATTCAAAAATTCTATCTTTCTAATCAAATTTCACATATGGTCAATGGGGAATCCTCGAAGCTAAAAAAAAAAAAAAATTAGACGACAAAAACTGAAAAGTGGGAAAATTTTCCTTTTCTTTCCAAAGAAATTGCAGAAACTTTATATCCAATAGAAAAGGGCTTGAAAGTCAAACCTTGAAGAATCCGAGAAACACCCATTGCTGAAACTCTTCGTTGGCGAAGAAGTGACGACGCCATTTTTCTTTCTTGTTTGGTTTTAATATTAAGAATTGTTGTTTGTACTTTCAAAAGGAAAATTAGAAGACAAAGAAAATAGAAATCATTGGACAGATATGAAGACCAAGGAAAACATGCGGTAGAATACAAAAATCGCAGGTTTCTTCGCTACTCGACTTGTTTCTCCTGAGTTCACGCTTTACGCCGACTCCGGGGCCGGACCAGATCACGTGGCTTGCCTAGGCCTTGATGGCAGTTTGGCTTTACAAAAATATTAAAAATAAAACACTTTCAGATGGATCAAAGCCCAAATTTTTAAAACCCACATTGTTTTGGGCTGTTAATTATAGTCGATTTCTAAACGAGCCCAAAATGATATAATTTGTATGATCAAATTGGAAGAATTTGAAGTCCCAAAAGTCTAATTTTATTTTTGGTATAAAGGAATAGGATTTTTTTTTTTTTTTTTATAAAGGAAGCAGTAATATAGGGATAAAAAATATATAAATATTAAGATTTAAATTTTAGATACGAATATCAAGAATCTGTTCTTAAGTAAATTTGAGAATTCGCGCAAATTTAATGCCGTAGAATTATCTTGCCGGTGAACATGACAACTTGATATACTATTGATCTTGTTACAGCGCTAACACTTACGAACTCAACGAACCGCTAGATCATTTATATGAAACTTGCAGATTAATTAGCATCTTGTTTAAGAGCATTGCTATAACTTTCGATCTTTTATTCTAGGTATGTATTTGATTACAGTTTTACGATACCAATCGACAATTTTTTTTTTTTATCTAATCATGTTTCTTTTAGGGCAAAGAGGATAGCTAGATTGCTAAATGAAAGTTCAAAGTATGATAAGTACTGCTTCTCATACTCAAGCACAAAACTGTGGATTTATGCATCAAAGAGACTTTCCAAACCTATAAGCACACCTAACTTGATATTTACATTTTATTTTTGATTGGACCTCCAGTATCTGAAAACTATTTTGAGTCTCAACAAATTCGAAGTCGAATTGGATCGAATTTCTTAAGAGAGATAAGATCTCTTAAATCTGTCTTCTTCATTCATAAGATTCAAAATTGAAATTTTACTTAAAAGAAATCGAATTTCTTATCACTTAAATCAACAGACGATATTTATATTTTACATATGAGTGTATTTACATTTATATATTTCATATTTAATATTTCTTAAATATGAAAAATATTATATCATAATTTATATTGATACGTCAAATACAAAATTTTTTTTATCAAATTCATATATAATTTTTATTAAAATTTTAAATTATTTTATTTTTATATTTTTTATCATATTATGGTACCGTATTTAATATTATTTACCTTCCAAATTTATTTGTATATATTCAATATCCTGACATCAGAATTTACAAGTCAACCAATGCGGAAAATATTGATGAACTAGCTAAAGAAGTGGATTGCATTGTAAGATAGATGTCAAAATCAGAACAATTAAGCCTCAACAACTACCAGAAGGCCCCGCGATTTTGACGTTGGCTGCTTTGAAGCTTCACAATTTTGACTGTTGTAGTGAGATCAGGAAGAAATGACAGAATTTTGAAATCCCAATAAAAATATAAATGCTGAGGGTTTCATGGGGGGACAAGACCTTGAAATGGACACAACATCAAGCCTCATGGTTTGATAGCCAATTTGGAAGGTGATGAAATGCATGGAGGTTTGAAAATTAGTGACCACCACATAGTTGTCAAAATGAGTGAGCGGTGAGTGTCTCTTCTGACCCATGTTTTTCTTCCTTCGTTAACTTATTATCACCTCATCACATCTATATCCATATTCGGTTGTGTCATCAATACTCATTAAATCTTTTCTTGTTTCCCTTTCTTTGTTCTACAAAAATAAATATAAGTTTATGTATCAAAATATAAATAAAAATAAATGAAAATGCTTCTACACAACTTTCCATTACTCCAAACAAACTTTAAAAAAAAAAAAAAAGTCATGCTACGTTCTTGAACTATTCTATTTTTAAAAAAATTATATATTTTGATTATATCCAAATGACTAAATGTTTTATTTAAGATTAAATCTTTCGATTAATGTATAAATCAAAATTAAATTTTTTTTTTAGTTAAATCCAATCTAATAGTTTTTGAGCTATAACCATCAATGATTTTTTGTAACGGATTTATGTGCATGTTATGCACATGCTATATTAACTTAACTAACGGTGACAAAAGAATAATAGAAGTTGCTTATGTGGATGTCCACATGAATATTTTTTATTATTTTAAAAATAAAAAATCAATTTAAAAAATAAAAATAGAAGAAAAAATCAATTCAAAACTAAAAAATTTTCAAAAAAAAAAAGAGAAAAATACTCAAAACAAACTTAAAAAAAAAAAGTCATGGTACGCTCTTCAACTATTCCATTCTTTTTAAATTATATATTTTTATTATATCCAAATAATCTTTATGTATTTATATAAATTTCTATTTATAATAAAATATTGATTTATATTAAAATTTTATTTATATATAAATTAAAAGTTAATATTTTTTTTAAATACAAATTAAAAATTAAAAATTTATTTGAATATAAATCAAAATTTAAAAATGTATTTGGTTATGATAAAAATATAAAGATTTATCTAAACATTAAAAAAAAATTGTTATTCTAACCAAAAGTCATCATTTTATGCTCAAAACGTTGGCCTATAATTCTTATTTGATTAATTATTTTATTTTATTTTTATCTAAATTATTAAAAAAATAAATTTGATTATTAAAACTAAACCTTATGCTTCAAACCCAACAAACCAATCAAAATCAATTTCTATTTATGAGAAACAATTTTTTTTTTTTTTTGGTTTCCCACCTCAATCAATTTATATTATTATAACATTATTGAAATTCTTCAGTTTGCATTTAACTCTGTGGGTCCTCTTGGTAAACATCCGCCTGAGTCTTTATCAGTCAATACAACCCATAGTTGTCAATTGATATTCAGCCCTTTTGCCATAAACAATTCTTGCTAAGCAGAGAAATTACTAATAAAATATTGGCTAAAGTGATAAACAATTTATGAACTATGATTAAAATTTTTTTATATTTTTATATTCTTATTATAATCAATCAACTTTTTTAACATTTATTTGCATTCAATTAAATTTTAGTTTAAATAAAAAATTAATATCATTAATTTTTTATCAATTAAAATAAAATTTTATGTGATATCAATAAAAAAAATAAAGTTTAACACGTGATAAAATTAATACATCCAAAATTAATAAAACAAAATTTTCTTCTATTTTACTTTTTTTTTTTTTCTCTCTCGCTCTCTTTTTAAAATCTTTATAAGAATTCAATTGACTATATTTCATAAATTGATTGACTAAATTTTATCACGTGACTTCATTCCATTTATTTAAGAATTCAGTTGAATCAAAATAAAAAATTAAAAGTTAAATTGATTGTAATAAAATATTAAAATTTTAAATAATTATTAAATTATAATTTTGAGGCATTTTTTACTCTAAGCTAAAATATTCAAGTGGTCCATTACATGAGAAGTAAGAAACCCCGGCCTGTTCTTGAGTAATTTCTATGATTTTTTATTTTTTTTTGGTTAGAACACTTACAATTATTTATTGGATTGGAGCACGAAGAGAAACATTTTTTTTAAAAGGATTAATTAATCATCATTTCACAATAAAACCTTGGAAATGAAAACAAAATGAATATAACATCACTTGGTCCAAACATGTTTTCTTCTAATTATTACCAACTTTTCACCACCAACGAAAACAAAATCCAAGATCGATCTCAAAAGTGGGCTCATTAATTCACACAATTTTGAACATTTTTTTGGATGCAATGGCACAGCCTTACCTCATTTGTTGCTTAATGCTTGAGATATCAGCAGCACCAGTCATGAACCAAGATATTGAGTAAAACCCTTTTTTATTATTATTATTTTCGTATGATTCATTTTTCATTTTGGGTGGTGGGGAGTGGATTGTATGGCCAATACGTATATACAGCACTTAATGCACCTTTGGTTCATGAATTTCGCTTGAATAAGTCATTTTATGTGCATACATTGTGACTATAGTAATAAATGTATAACAAAATTATCAATTGGATAATGTTGGATTGTCCAAAATTGTGCCATCTGAATGCGATCGAGCATGATATGAAACATGAAATAGAAAAAAAGTGTATGTTATACACATTCGACTTTTAAATTTCGCTCCAATTAGCAATATGATTACCAATAATTACTTTTTTTCTTGAAAAATAAAGGCTTTAAGTTTGAATTTTGCATTCTAAACTATTACTGGTATTTAAAAAAAAAAAATTTAAAAATCATTAGACAGATATTTGAGCAAAGGGTTAATAAAATATATGTAGAATATAATATGTAGGATTTGATAATTTAATATATGATATAAAAATTATATAAAAATATGAATATGATACGATTTAAAATTTTAATAAAAATTATATATGTTTTTAACAAAATAAAAAAATATTTTATATTTTTATCTTGACATAAATAATAATACATAATTTTTATATAAAATATAATATAAATATATAAAATATTAATATTGTATATAATAGAAATACATAAATAATTAAATATACATGGAAGATACACGTTGCAATGAGATATGCCAAAAAAGTGACATATGAACGAAAAGGCTTTAGCAAACATCATTTTGAAGATCGAAGTGCCAGCTAAAAACCATATCTCATAGCCCGGAGAAAAAAAAAAAAAAAAGGAATGGGATCTATTCCAAGCCGAAAAAGCATCCGTCCCAAAAAAAAAAAAAAAATTATCAACAACAGCCTCCTCAACCTCCTTTGACTGTGTCTCGTAAATAAATCCTAATAATTTCAGCCTCAACATTTACCGAGGAGATGCGAAAGGAAAAGGCAAACAAAATCTTCCGGTTTGCCCATTCTTTATTGCCTTTATTTGACCCTTTATGTTTTTATTTTCCTGGCATATTATTTACATGAAAGATTTACTAGTCCTTGCAATATTATTTCGTAGTCTTTGATAGTTACGCAATCTTACACCAAATCTCATTTATGAACTACTTTTTGATGCTTTTTTAATATGGTTTTCAATTAGCATGATTTCACTTCATTTCATCATGTCAATTTGTCAATAAATTAAGCTTTTCATTTTTTTTCTAATTTGTTTTTTTTCTTAATTTAACACTATCAGA